CATTGTTGTATCAGTACTTTTACTCATTATCTCTCCAAATCTACTGAATCTTTCCCAAGAGGTCTTATCTCAGGTTTGATCCCATGCTTTGATCCGTATTTTTTTTCTTTTGTCTGTTTTCCCCCTCAATGGTTTGTCCTCTCTGCTCTTTGTCAAGTCAGCATCTAGTGAGACCCACCATCAGCAGCCCGAGCACATATTCCTAGCCTCCCCTCAAACACACACACACACAAACTGTATTATCCCATGTCCTCAGTACAAACACAAACAAGCTCCAGGAGAAGCAGGTGTCCTTCCTCTGGGATAAATAAACAGCAAACCAGGATCCAGGAGCAGGAGGTTGTGTCTGTGTGACAGGGAGAGAGAGAGAGAGAGTGAGTGAGTGAGGGGGGAGGGGGAATTACTGTTAGTTTCTGTATCAGTGTGTGTGATGGGAGAAACTTTGAATATCGCTGATAGCATCTTTTAAGCCCCCAAGTCTCTAACAAAGCTGTTTGTTTTCGCTTAGGGTGTTTCTTTTCATGTTGTGTTTTTAAGGTTTAATTGTACATTTATGTTTACTTCATCGCAATCAGCCATTTGTAAAGGATTGTAAAAAAAGAGTAGCAGCAATGCAGATACAATATGTCAAAGTAGAGTTTAATGTTAAAACATTTGTTTTCATTTTCTATACCAGACTTCCATAGAAAAACTCCCCATTTATGACGCTCCATTGAGATTAACTTGCTCTTGTTTGGTGCTTCTTGCTGCAGAATGCTGTGTAGATTGTTAACCGTTAAGATGTTAGCATTTAACTTGCACACATGTTTCTTTTAGTAGGACACAATTTCCCCTTCGCCCTTACCAACCTGTGCAGGCTGATGGTAATCTGCCCTCTGGAAGAATGTAAACAACTCTCTGTGTCATCATCCAGTAACAGGCTGCAGTATTTCTTCATACAGTACGAGAAAGGGTTATGTACATAATGGAAACTGACAGACTCACGTATGGTGGAAACTGTCACACCACATTTTGTCTGATGTACTTAGTGATCCTCCAACATGTTATTTGTATAGAACAACAACCAACAAAGTCCATTTAGTGGAAAACTCTCAACCACATCACAGGATCTTCATCAGGAGAGGTAGGATTGTTTGCTCTGCTGTCGTGGAATTACAGATCTATATTTATTCCTAATGATTAATTTTAATGATCTCACTAAAGTCAACCACAAACACTATAAATCTTTCTTGGTCAAAAAGTTCCATGTTTGATACCTGAGTATCGCCCATGACATAATCGATCCACATTAAAGGACAGATTCACAATTTTAATATAAACTTGGAGTTTATATTAAAGCGACTGTATCTCAGACTCACTTAACTTCAGATAAAATTTATAGATATTTTCACAGAACGAGGAGTTTTTTTTTTACATTGGATACATGTTAGAGAGAGATTTCATGGTGGCCAGCCAATGTGAACAGGAAGAATGATTACAGCAAGTGAAACTATTGTTTTAAGACAGAACACGTCCTTTAACAAAACAGCTTCTTTGTCTGTTATTATAAACTGAATGTCTGTCCTTATTACATAAAAACGATTGCTCATAATGAGTTCCATATTATGAGTTATAAAGATTTTGGGGAAAAGAAAGCTGGTATCAGATTGATATCTTCAGAGGTTGTTTTTTTATTTATGATAAATTGTTTTAATTTGATTCTTGTTGGAGGGGAATCATCAGTGTATACATACAAGTTACTGAACTTAAAGCACATATGTATACTAGTATCACCATTACTTTCCATGCAGCCTGAAACTGCAGATCATGCCTAAAAGAAGCTCTTGCTTGATCCTCTTGTCCTTAAATTAGAACCCAACCACAGGGTTGTGTAAATAAATTAGATTTTCTCCACTGCCTTATCATATTGTAATTCATTATATTACTACTGTGTCCTTAATTCTTAACCCTTTTATTCTTTAAACCCTCTTTTTTAATTTATTTTTAACTTTTAATCAACTTTGATTTTTTTTATCAAAGAATGAAGCACTTAAGCATGTGCCTATATTTTCGTCCCCAATTACAAATCCAACATGATAAAAATCACAGCTATCAAACCCTGTTCTTCCACTGGGTCACCGTGAGTCCGTCCACACCTCCAGGTAGGCCACCAAGCTGAGCCAATCACAGCCTCGGAGCGGGTTATTGACAGCGCGGCCCCGCCCTCCCGTCCACCTGTAATCCAATCCGCGGTGCTGTCACAGGTAAAACCGGCCTCAGTTTCTAAGCTTTGCCCCAAAAAAGCGAGAAAAGCCGACAAAACCCGTTCTCTCGGTAGGGGACACCTTGTTTGTTGCCGCGGCCCTCATCCAGTGTTAGCGGCGCAGTTTTAACACGGTAAAGAAGACGGATCGGATTTTCAGTACCAACTAGAAAGTCCAGTTCGACCGACCGAGATGTCACAGGAGCATGACAAGTAAGTCCTCACTCTCCACCTTTAGCCTGCACAACCGTACTGGCTCTTAATATTTTGTGGACTTTTAGACTGTTTTTTTTTTGCACTTTTTATTTTTTATTTTGAGTTCATGGCACAGAAGGATTAATAAAAACCTGAGCTCACATTGAGGTCCAGCTCTCACCTGCAGCTGCAAATAAAAAACCCTATTTTGATTAGGTATTTGTCAAGCATCTAAGCATTAATTTAAGGATTATTATTATGGCTTCTTTTTCAAGGGTAAGTTAACTCTTAAAGCCTGGTTGCCTCATGTCTCATAGTTTCCCATGGTGTAACTCCGCTGCGTTCACCTGTCATGTTCAAGCCTGTACAGGTGTATCTCCACCTGTCGTGCGAGCGGAGGCGCCTGCTAGAATAAAATACTCTCCCGTGATAGAGGCGATGGGCGGTTTAGTGTTTGAATTTGCTTTAAGCTTCAACATTTATGTAGATAGTCTCAATGATGTTTGTTCAGCAGTGAACGTGGAGCAGGGAGCTGACGGTGGTTTTATTGCAAAGTTTTGATCATCAACAGCTTCACTAAAATAAAATATTTCAAAATAATAATAATAATAATAATAATTTTAATGCTGGTGTAAATGCTCAGCAGATATTCTGTGAGAGGGCATCGACAAGGAGACTTTTTGAGGGGAGTGAAATTGTACACCTGCTAGGCGTTGGCCAGACTACTTACACAGACAATGTAAGCAAGCAACAGGGCTATATGAGGTTATATTTTTACTCTACACGACTCAAATGTTAAAATTAGACTGCATGCACACTTCTCTAATACAGAAAATACAGCATGAATGCAGAAAGATGTTTTTTTTAATGTTCTTGTACATTAAAAGTGACAGATGTCTGTGGATTCATGCTGTGAAGATGTGAAATCTAATTTTAATCTGTCTGAAAAACTTTTGTTTTGTTTTGTTTTATTAATGGATTACATTTCTTTAGAGTTTTATTGCCAGGTAAATAATAGATCTTATCAGGTTGCCTTTTATGAACAGCACAATTAGATATAGGATTACTAATTATTACTTTGCTCTGACCATTGAGAGGAAAAAAGCTGTATTTGTTGTAGATACTCAGCGTGGAAACTGAACCAGTCCGTTTACACTTTGTCATAATTACTTTGTTGTGGCAGAAAATCAGTGGATGGATTTGGTGGGCAGGGTTTTTGAAGATGTGTTACAGGGGTGTGTAGTTTCCAAAGTTTGGGAAAGAACGCTAATTATCTAGATGAAACTTTAATAACAAGAGCCTGACTAATGACTTTACTTTGTTCTTGTCACTGGGTTTAACACGTTTGAATAAATATGAGCTGAGCAAACATTAAAAGTTACTGTAAAAAAAAGTTCAGCCTTCAAATGTTCTGTATTTTCTCCCGTGTGTTGTACGATCATTCCCTTTTAAACTTAAATCAACATATTAAAACCACTACAAGCAGGTGACACGCATAGAAATTCAAGCTGTGTATTCTTATTGGTCCAAGTCCTGTTTACAAAGCAATGATTCTCGAGGCCTCACAAGATGGAAGAGGAAGAGGAGCTGGTGACTGTGCATAAAAACATATTTTTCACAAACAGGTTCTCTTACGAAAAACTGAACGCAGGAATGTAGCCGGGTTGGATGCGTCACTTGCGGTTTCCCTCTCAGCCAATGAGCGATGCCCGAACCAGAGTCGTCACACTGGACGAGCCTGTAGAGCATCTTTTTCTCGAGACACCTCGGTGGTTCGATTGCTGAGATTTGTTGCACAATCACAGAAAAGCCTGAACAACTGGTCTCGAGATAAAGAGCATCTACATGGCGTAGGCCGTGATTGTAGGTCTTGGCTTTGTGAAGTCACGCTTGAGGAGCAGCGTGTTAATCCCATAGTCTATATCTGCTCTGTTAAACCTTTATAAGTCAGGTCCAGTTAAAGTAAATTTTTCAAGTGTCAAGTGAAAAAGAGTTTAAAAGGCCATCACATGAGCAGAGTTCTGCATTAAAATAAGCATTGGCATTAATAACTGGTTTCATACACAGTAACTTATGGAGTTTTTGTCTTCCTGCAGTAAGCGTGCGGTCCTGGTTCTCCAGAACGAGCCGGGCTATGGCAGCCAGCGTCGCTCCTTCACCACAGAAGACGAAGCCTGGAAATCCTTTCTGGAGAACCCGCTGACTGCTGCCACGAAGGCCATGATGAGCATAAATGGAGATGAGGACAGTGCCGCAGCTCTGGGCCTCCTCTACGACTACTATAAGGTACAGAAGAAAGTCCTTTTCTTGACCACACTGGGAAAAGTTCTCCCGACGCTCTGAGCTCCTTTAGCATGAATCAAAAGTGCAGAACCTCATGTCAGGGGATTACTTACCAAATCCTTCCAGGCTTTTACCCACATGATCCTTCCCCATACTGACATACAACCATTAAGCAACATCTGTTAGGCAAAGCGTATGTCATGTAACTGATCTAGTTGCACATATAGACAGCGGGATGACCCTGGTTGTTGGATGTGATGTGGTCAGATGCTGAGCGGCTGTGTTTACCCTCCCATACAGGTGCCCAGGGAAAAGAGAACAATACCCCAGAGCAAGCCAGAAGCACTGGTCTGTGATGTGGATCCCAACAAAAGGTAAGCAGCAGCCCTCACCCAATACCACCCCCTTTAAAAATAAAAGCACAGCGGAGGGGAACCACGGCAGGAAGGGATTCAAGCTTGTTCACATACTCTAAATTTAGTGTGCGCATTTGCATGTACGAGGGATCTGAACGCAGTATAGCTCATTCATTGAAATCTATTTAAAACTTGTTTCCCCAAAAGGTCAAAAACAGCCCCTTTTTTTTAGTTTGAACACAGTTTAAGAGTCTAACACACTAGATTTCTTCCTCAGTTGAAGTTAAAACACAAGGTTCAGGAGTTTATACTGACTTTATTTTATCAGGTTATTTCACTGAGATTTGTTTTTTCACACAACCGAGTCATAAAGTAAAAGATAAAGCTTTAAAATTTCCATGGAGAGTAAAACAGTTTAGCTGAGAGTTGTTTGATTCCTTTTAAATGCAGTAAATTGAATTAGTGTGTGCGTATTGGTTAGCTAAGGGTAATCAATCAGTCACTTTAGTTGTCCCCAAAGGGCAATTTGTTGTGCAACAGTGAAACACAAAACAAACTATGTGCTTGTGTCAGGCTATGTGAAAGAGTTACTTTTGCCTAATGGCACTCCTGTACTGTAGTAATAAGATAGAAATGAGAGAAGATACAGTGGAGCTTTATAGATGAATCCCATCATGATTCTCAGATAACACTAATACGACACATGTGCTGTTTATCTTTGCTGCAGACACCAGATCCAGGCCGGACACCCCATAGGTCCACATCATGAGGCTGGCATGGAGAGCAGGATCCAGGTCCTCAAGGGGCCCTTCAATATTCTCCAGTTGGCCCAGGACAAGAGATCCCAGTTCCCCTCACCAGGTCAGATCACATTCAAAAACACAGACAGGAGCTGATTTTAAAACAGAAAATCTTCATTGTCAGTTTACTTGATTTTGTCTTTTTTTAGACACAACAGTCACAGTTTCCATCGCCGCTGTGCCAAACTACCCGCCCGTCAAGACAGAAGTGCCAAGCCATGGCTTCTCAGTGACCATCCCAAACAACTGCACCGAAACCGACAGCCATGTGGGCGTCTTTGACCGCCAGCTCACCCACAATACGGTCCAGTTCAGCCCCAGCACCCAGTCCCGCACGCCCCCCGACTCCACCTTCTCTGAGAGCTACAAGGATGGTTCCCAGGAGGTGAGTGTTTCGATCCCCCCTCTTTCTAAACTCCGCTAATGCTCTCCCTACAACCCCCCTGCTCTCCTCCTCCTCCTCTCCTTCGCTTTCCTCTCCTCTCCTCTCTCAGATCTCTGCCATCAGACAATAGGATATTCACCTGATCCCACGGAGCCAGCGGTGGGCTCAGCCTTCCCTGGTTTTATTTGAACATGCCAAAATAGCGGCCAGTGTGTTATTATGCCATTGTCTCACCAACACAATAAAGTGCTGTACTTTTCTCCTACAATAGCCAAAGCTCTTTCTCTGTCCTCTTTCTCTATTTAACCTGGAGGGGAATTACCTTAGAAAAGAGTAACCTAACAAAACCCTTGTACAGGAGGGAGTGGGGGTGTTAGCAACATGAGGGAAGAGCTATTTGAACTAAAAGAAATGGGGATGAAGGGGAGGAACAAATTAATGAAACCTACACAAAGTGGTGGAAGAAAAGTGGCACTGAGTTAAAATACTGATTATTCCTCTGGTAAATTATAGTTAGAAGCTTTTAAAATGAATTTAATATCAAAGCAAAGTAGTTGTTAAATATATCCGCTCTTTGCTGTGTCTCACTTCACACTATCTGTTTTCTTTGTGCGCTGCAGGTGTTTTCCTTCCCAGGGGATCTCCAGTTACGTATGGCCTCCATGACGCCTGACGAGTACCCTCAGTTTGACACCATGCAGGGGTAAGTCGCACTGCCGCCGGCCCACCGTCCGACTTCCACCGCCATTCAGCTTTTGACACAACACTGCAGAATGGCCTCATTCATCGTAGTCACAGGGGAGACACTGGACTCCCCCTCTGTGTGAAAGACAAGAATCTGCACACACGGGCGTTATCTGACAACACGCTGATTTTAGGTCACGATTTTGCCAAATGAAGCGTGCCACATCATGCTTCAACACGTTTTTGCATGGTGTTATTGCAGTTTTAAGGAAAGTAAATGCTTTTTCTTGATGCTTACCTAATTCTTACCTAATTCTGCCACTATTCTGCACCTTAGGAATAATTTTGAGTACACACTTGAGGCTTCCAAGTCTCTGCGTCAGAAGACAGGCGACGGGACGATGACGTACCTGAACAAGGGCCAGTTTTACCCTATCACCCTCAGGGAGGTTGACAACAAAGGCATGCAGCAACCCATCACCAAAGTCAGGGTAAGAACAAAAGACAAAAATAAAACCTGAAACAAGCAACGACTTGGGAGCATTGACAGCAATCATGTGCTGAATATCATCGCAGCTTATTAAAGTTGTCGCTGTGTGTGTTAACCCGTGTCCAGAGTGTCGTGATGGTGGTGTTTGGAGAGGAGAAGTGCCGAGATGATCAGCTGAAACACTGGAAGTACTGGCACTCCAGACAGCACACTGCCAAACAGAGGTGTCTGGACATTGGTAAGAGGTCTTTTCAATTACATTTAAAAATATATATATATGTACAATTTGGCAGAACAAGAGTGCAGCAATAAGGGATCACATAAACTTTAGTGTAATGTCTGAGAGATTTTAAAGAGCCATAATGAGTCACCTTGGTTTTACCGTGGATTAGGCTGAGTAATCGTCCTGTGTCTGCACAAGTATGTGGGAGGTTGAAAGGGAAGATTATCGGTAACTGACAAGAAAAGGTGTGTTATTTGGTTGTGACAGTTCAGTTTGGCTGGCAATGGATTAATTCTGCAGCCTTTAAAATCAGTGTAATATGAGAATACAAGCCCAAGTTTTCTTGAGGGTTGATATGTTTCTGATGGCATTTCACACTTCTGATATTTTGCTCTTTTTACATCACTAAACTTTTGCTTATTGTCACAGCTGACTACAAGGAGAGCTTCAACACCATTGGCAACATCGAGGAGATTTCCTATAACGCCATTTCCTTCACCTGGGACACCAATGAGGAGGCCAAAGTAAGAGAATACAAGAAACGTGTACACACACACACAAAATTAGACGTGCTTGTTCGAAAGCTACTGTGTGCCTCTTCTGTGTTCACGTAAGAACATTAACAGTGTTTGGGCCACAGGATCACTGGTGATCCAAGGTTTTCATATACTTCCTTGTCTTGAACTCTTAATATGAGCCTTGAACTTTTCACATCCACACACTTAAGCCAAAAATAGACAACTCCTCCTTTCTAAGCTCCCGTGTGGTTTTTGCCGCAGACCAGAATGAAGGTTTCAGGTGTTGACACCCCTTTGTCGGTGATCATCAGCCACTTTGTTCATTGTGATCCTCCAAAACAGTCGTTAAAGAAAATAGGGGCTTAAATGGAAGGGTTAGGATGCTGTCACCTCCTCTTGTGTGTTTGGTCTTGTTGCGTAGAGATGTGGAGGTGTGTGTATTAATCTTCCCGCTCTCTGCATATACATTCTTGACTGGTCCAACCTGCCTGTCACCCCTATTGTGATGCTATGTGTTAAAGTATTTCCGCACAGCAGACAGAGCAACAAAGAGTGTAGGAATGAGGAAACTCAGCAGGGGGGACGGGGACCGGATTGGATAGTTAACAAATAAAATCCAGTTCAACAGGTAGGAGAGGTGACAGAAAAGAGGAGCTTGTGATTTTTTAATTTTTGTTGTTGGCCCTCATGTCATCCTCTGGCACCGATCCACTGTCAGCCTGAGATGGAGGACGACTCACAGGTTAACAAACAGACAAAAGGACAACATGGCGGCTGTCCAACGCCTTGCTAACTGTAGGCTACACTTAACATAAATAAAGCCACATGCACAAGCCTCACACACACACACACACAGTCACACACACCAGGATGTGGGTCTAACTGTCTCATGGCTCGAGGCCTGTGTCTATAGGATGTTCATCCTTGTGTGTGCGCATGACTTCACTGCGTGTGTATTTTTGGAAGCACCGCCCTGCCACATTGTTTGAGCATCTCATCAATGATGATTGATCTCATCAATCTGTTTAACAACCAGATAAAGGTGTGTGTGTGTGCGCTTCTTGTGTGTGTGTGTGTGGGCTTGTCCCCGAAGAGAGGGGGGGTGGGGGTGGGGGAGTCACTCCAGTATATCTGTATTTGCAGTGTATTTGCAAAAGGCAGTCACTCCCTTATGTTTACCTGCTCTGGGGCATTTTTTACTGGTGTTACCACGAAAAAATACAACTTTGATGGCAATGATTTTTTTTTCTTTTCTGCTCTATGTGTAACATTTAACAAAGCATAAAGCTGCCAGAAACCCAAAATATAAGAAAAATGACACAGGTGCTTTAAAAAATTACAAACATTTAGTGATAATCTAAATAATATTCTTATGAAACTTCAACGTTGTAAAAAAAACTGTTTTGCTCTTTATACACACAAATACAGTTTAAAAAGAAAAAGCTTGTCTAATATATAAATAAAGTTACTATAAATAAATATATTCTTTTAAAGTCGCCCTCTACTCAGAAATATGTTGCTCTTCTTGTTCCCCCAGTTGGATGTTTGCGGTTCATTGTGCAGAATGATGTATGTGCAGAGTTTGACACTAGATAGATGTTTTTCACATTCATCTGCTGAAAGTGGAAAAAGTTTCTCTGATTTCTGACATCACTAATAGTTTAATAGTCAGTCCAGGTCCAGTTTGCAACTTATACAGATGTGATGTAGAAACTTAAGGCCACCAGAGCACAAACATTGAGAATAGACTTTATAGTGAAGGAATAGACATCTTGTGTCCAGCAGGAAAACTTTAAAAATAAACATATTTCAGAGATTCTGGGTTTTTAAATGAGTTAGAGAGGTAAATGTCTTTTTAGGGATTTTAATGTGGAAATTATTATTTTTTTCCCCCAAGCAGACTATCTGTATACAGTCTTTAATAATATTTATATTATCAGTGATATCTGCCTCTTGGAATCTCTCTATTATTCTCTCTATGTGTTTCCAAACACTCTGTTAGGATAGTGTGTTTTGTTGACACAATGATAACCTGTTTTCAGTACAAGCCCTGGGAGGACAAATGAGCATCTCCACAGTAAACAAAATATGTGCCTGTGATTACTGGAGTTGACCAATAGAGGACGACACAGAACACTGAATGAAGTAACCGAAGGCCTCCAGTGTTTCACAGTGATGTAAAGTGAAAACCTTAGTTTATTTGTTTGGTCTATGTTTAAGAAACAGCCATTAAACTGTTATATTATCACTAAAATGACTGTTGACAAACCTTCTATGTTCAATTTCTCCAACTTTGTAAAGGTGACATTGGACCTTAAACACAACTGTTTCCAGCTTCTTTGTCTCATCCGCCCTGTATTCTCCCTCCTGTCCTCTCTCCCCGCAGATCTTCATCTCCGTCAACTGTCTGAGCACTGACTTCTCCTCTCAGAAAGGTGTGAAGGGTCTTCCTCTGAACCTGCAGATCGACACCTACAGCTACAACAACCGCAGCAACAAGCCCATCCACCGCGCCTACTGCCAGATCAAAGTCTTCTGTGACAAGGGGGCTGAGAGGAAGATCAGAGACGAGGAGAGGAAGCAGTCCCGCCGGAAAGGGAAGGTTGCTGAGCTCAACCCGGGTCTGGCCTGTGAGTTACTCAGTACTTGTATAATATGCATAAGCAGGGGGCCGAAACTACTGTACCTAATCCCAGAGTTTCAGTGTATAGGGATAGCTCAATTCATTCAACATGATGATAATTCAGTCCTCCTTTACTGCCCCCAAGTGGTCATAAAAACATACATTAATGCAGGTTTAAGGACTCTGAAAATGTCCTTGTTATTAAACTGCTCCCTGTTGTGTCTTTTCCTCCCAGTTGTGGACGTCAAAGTGCCCGTCCTCCAGAAACGCAACGACGTGACCATCTTTAAGATGATGAACGATTTCGAGACCCAGCCGGTCCTTTTCATCCCTGACATCCACTTCTCTACCTTCCAGCGCCACGTGAGTGCCCACACACAGCTCTTAATACCATCAGTGCTGTTTAGTGCTGTTTTTTCTGACCATGAACATCGCTTTTGCTGCATTCATGTAGCCTGCGTAGCATCTTAGGTGGTCCATGAACAGTTTGTTGATTTCAGCTTCCACCCACTCATCAGCCAGCTGGGTCGAGGTGACCTGCTTGCCTGCTGGCAGGAACAGAGAGTTCTAGTTTCCAGCTCTGATAGGAGTCTTACATACTGATGGCTATATTTCAGACTGCTTACTCACAGGATGAATCATTTACCAGTGACTCAAAACAAACCCGGGGTGGTTCAGAAAACACTACCCTGTGCTCCCTGTTTAATGTGTTCGTATGCTTAACTTATAAAAAAAGGTAGATTTAGAGAGATTAAGAGGAGTGGCAAAAAAAATGTCTTGCCATCCCAGTTTTTCATTTATTTAAAGATAATGTGTTAAAAAAAAAATTAACACATAATTTAATGATCTAATGGCCACATTTTAGATTAAGTGATAGGCTTAAGGTCAATTAAAAAAGATATATATTGGAAAAATGTCAAAGATTAACTAATAGACAATTTACTACTGCCATCTTTAGATATTTCTATTTAATACTTATTACTATTACTAATACTAACGTGCCTTCATTTAGGGGCCTTTCTAATCAAATATTGATATATGTAATATATATTTCTGCCACCAGTTAAAGTCTCCATTCCACCCTCTTGCCATCCCATAAATATTTTTCTACATCCGCCCCTGAATCCTGGTCCAATATTAAACTTACAAGTGTGATGAACTTGAAGGCACCAATGCACAAACATTGAGAAAGGACTTTACAGGGAAGTAGGAGACATCTTGTGTCCAGCAAAACTTTAGAAATGAACAACATTTGCATGGAAATTAGACTTATTTAGCAGAAAACTAAATATTAGACACACATTATTGCCCCAGGCGCACTTCTTGTACATGTTTTAATACATGTCTGTGGAGGATCTTTAAGCATACGTGCAGTTTGTCAGGTTCTTATCAGTGCTGACCAGCAGCAGCCCTCTTCTCTGTGACTGAACTTTGCTTCTACCAGTCAGGACGAACACTTCACACCTACAGAGGTGTGTGTGCATGTACGCCTGATGTTAGTTTTTTTTTTTTGTTTCTTTTGGGTTTTCCATACACTTTTTTTCAGGTTTTACGTGACATGTACAATGAGACAAATCACTCTGCGGGAGAAGTTTTGAGAAATTTGACTACGAATGAACTTTGAGTGCCCCCTGCTGGTCAAATTATGAGCAGTTCCAGCTGAGTACGAGTAACAAAAAAGCACTCTTTCTCCCCTTCTCTCATTCTCACTGAGTTTACTTTGCTACCAGAGAGGCTGAGGGAGGCCCCAGAGGTTATTTTTGGTGCTGCTGATGACATTGAACCTGACTGAACTGCTATCAGTTTCTGATAAACTCAGGGTTTACCAACCGGCTCAGAATAGAATTTCTATTAACAGCAATGCCTGCAATCAATACTGTCACAGGGCAAAAGGCTACAAAAAAGCAGCTTTTCCAACAATTAGAAGTATAACTTATTTTTGATTGAACTCATGTGTTATTTAAAATTATTAATTGGTTGAAGGGATTTTATGCATTTACTTAACAGAGACAGAGCCTCCACTCAGCAACTTTAAACTTACTTACTAACTGTATTTCTTGTCTATTATTATTATTTGTATTCTATTTAATCCAACTTGTTAACACTTTCCTCTTCTAACTATAACACATATCTTTATTAGCATTTATTAACATACTTTATTATTGAATAGTGCTATTTGTAGGCCAGTGAACGGGATATAGGGTAAAGGGCACAGGCTTGTTTGCATGCGTGTGTGTGTGCACATAGTGATCGGTGGTTAATTCTATTTTATTTTTTATTTTCGTTTTTTATTGTGCTTTAAAATGTAATTTTAAGGCGTTTCTATCAACTTAAGCACTTTGAATTGCGTGTTTGAAAACTGCTATTTAAATAAAACGGAATCGCTTTGATTAAAAAAGAAGATGTAATAGCAACTGATATGCAGAGCAACAGACTTAAAATAAATAAACGCCCCTTTGTATTTAATAGATAAACTGATCAGATCAATATGTCAAAGCTCAAAAACATCATATAAATTACCTTGGGACCCCTGTCATGTGACGACCTATCAGAGTTTAGACCTGCACTTTGATCACTGTTTCTCCAGCTCTAACTGTACAAGCTTTGCTCCACAAATAAAAGTAGACAGCTGAGTAGCTGTTTCTGTTGACCGAGCTCATTTCTAAGTAATAAAGGAAAAATAAATGGGTCAACAAAGGAAACCTTTTGGACTTGGCTGTTGACTTTGCCTTTGACCTGGTTGACTGATTGAACAGCCAACATGCAGTTGTAACTATAGAAGCTGCAAAATCGAACATTTTAAATATCCACTTTCATTGCAGGATATACATTAAAATCATATTTAATGTGGGTTATTATCATAAATATTGGGGTTCCCAATTCTAAGAAGTCTGTAGCTCATACCGTTCGCAATTCCAAGTCATCAGTGATAGCATTTATGGTCGGTTTAACTTTTATCATATTAATTAATTTCTCCATTTCTGTTTTTCTTCTGCAGCCTTACTCAACAGAAGAAGGAGAGGAAAGGTGAGTTTCACATCTGATCTTTTCTCACTCACTTTTAGTAGTTTTGAACCGAGACAACCTTTGGAACCCTTCGCAGTAAAAAGCGTACAGGGTTGTGGTTTCTAGGAAATGTCTGTGGGCTTTGTGCTCGTGTATGTTTTATAGCCTGTTAGACGATTGTTAAGGGCATTTAAGCAGTGATTTGTGTGTTTGTGTCCACTGCAGCTCGAGCATGAAGAGATTACCTTTCAATGATGAGGAGTTTGCTTCACCCCCAAACAAGATGGCGAGAGTGGAGGAACCAAAGAAAGGTAATAAATGTGACTGTCTGCATGCTGATCAGATCCTTGAGTGATGCTCTTCTTAGGAGTTAAAGCAGTGTATGCACATGCATGCAGCAAACACACACACACATACACACTGTCTCTCACTCTCTCTCTGGATGTGATTATTCCAGGTCTTTCAAAACACACACGTGTCCCAGGCCTCCACTGACCCAACCAAATACCACTGATCACTACGTGCACACACACACACGCATGCAAACAAGCCTGTGCCCTTTACCCTATATCCTGCTCACTGGCCTACAAATAGCATTATTCAATAGTAAAGTATGTTAATAAATGATAATAAATGTATGTGTTACAGTTAGAAGAGGAAAGTTTTAAAAAGTTGGGCTTTGCATTGACCTTTTAAAACCGGTTTTATGAATACACCTGCAGTGAGGTTTTAAGGGAGTCTAAGAAAAACTGCTCCTGTTACACAAGATTCTTGCTTTGTTTGTGAAATACTGGATACTTTCACCTCATCAGGACTCTAAAAGTCCTTCAGGTGGAATGGCTAATAGTCTCTGAACTGGCTCACAACTCATGTAACACTATAAGGCGGATTAGTTACCTTAAATTTACTCCAACATAAACTAAATTCGGTTAAAGGTTTAGGTGACGTTTTCATATCTTTCCACAGCAGCTGTCGTGTTTTTCCAGTTAGACAATTGGCAACCTTGTGGTGGTTTGGAAGGGGATCATGTTGACATGTGAAAGAGAGAACTGCCAATCATGTGTTGAACAGCCTCCTTCAAATGACGTCTGTCTCTAACATGGCAGCTCCAGACCACAATGAGCGAAGCAAAGATGTGGCCATATACAGTATACTGTAGCTTTAAAGAGCATACTGTTTCACGTCTTTGTTATTTTTGGTTTTGCTCCATATACAGATTACATAAACTATTGAAAACTCCTCCGCACAGTTCTGACTTTAAATAGAAGCACACTTGAAGAGTATTTCCTGTATTCAGAGGCCATAAAATAGCACAAGTTCTTGCAATACGTTGGAAAACAATAGGAGAATATCTATTTAGAGCATGATCTATTTTGAGAAAAGTGAATGAGAGGAGTGTCCGTCCGTCCGTTTGTATGCGGGTCTCTTTACAACCATGTATGATATGAGTCTGCTTTCTAGGTGTGCTTTGTCTGGGCCTGGTGCCACTTCTCTGAGTCTGGATTAGTGCCCTGTAGTCAGGCAGGGGGAGTATTTAATTAAAATGGCCTGCAGTGTTATACATCATATCTGCAAATTTACTAATGGATTAAACATATGTGTACATGTGCTTGAGCTTCACTCCTTCGAAATCGTGATCGAGGACACTGTAAAGCCACAAACCCACAAACATGAACCAAACCAGCAGTTGAGCTGTTCGGTCTGACGCAAATACACGCTTTAACGTCTGCCAGTGACTTTCGTCTGAGGCAAGAATTTGGGTTTGTGTCCAATCCACGAACATACGTGCTTTGCTTTGATGCCTTCCCGTCTCTTCTCTCTCTTTTCTCCACACAGTCCTGCTGTACGTGCGCAAGGAGACAGAGGAGGTGTTTGACGCCCTCATGCTGAAGAATCCCACACTGAAAGGCCTGGTGGAAGCTGTAAGTTGTTTTATCTTGGCCATAGAATTCATTCAGCCTTCTTGTGGAAACTCAGCGTAATCACAATTTAAGGAGGCAGAGATGTATGAGGGTTTATTTAAATATGAATAACTTATAGACAAACTTTGTCTCAGCCCGTCCATTAACGACTCAATGCTCTTTTTTTTTGCACGTGCACTAAAACTATTGTAAACTACAACAAACTATAGTCTAATGATTTAAAACTAACACATAACCTTAGTATAGTCCACTTTTGTATACATTTGAATAATATCAAAACATAAATGTCACAAGAACATATTTTACTGTCACATAATGGCTCTTACACTTCATTGTACTGGTAATGACAAGTATCGCAGTTCATGTTGGGAAGAATAAGAACGAGTGGATTGGGGGAGGAGAGATAGAGAATGGGTGTGTGGGATGGGAGTGAAGGGTCATGTACAGTAATTATAGAGAACGGACAGTAGAGTTTGCTCAATAATTTAACATTGACTTGTATTTTTTCTCAACCAGATTTCAGAGAAGTATGAATTACCCTTGGATAAGGTTGGAAAGGTCTATAAGAAGTGCAAGAAAGGGTGAGTTTGAGTCAGTGACATCCTCCTACACTGCATTATGTCTGAAACGTTATGAAATAAATTTCATCCTATCGGTTGCTTTCACCTCAAAACACAGTACAGATGTCCTTTTACACAAACCCCAAACAAAACTAAAATAATTTGTGGGTTAATTAAGCATTAGCAATCAAACTCGCTGCTGCTGTAATTCAAAGCAGCCAATCATGAGTTGTAGTAACAGACCCATAAAGCGCTTGGTTGACAGCACCATAATTAGGATATTAAAGGTCAATTAAATTGTGCAGTGATTACATTTGCATCATCAAAATCCTGTTGTAGTACAGTGAATTTGATCTATTCTATCTTATCGAACATACTAGCGATCATCTATCTACTATCTATCTATTATCGGTATCTCTACGATGTCGGCTCTACGACGTTTTTGTTTAGGGGGTTGTTAGAGTGCGCTAACGGTAAGAGTTTAATCAATAATGGGTTATCAAAAATTATAATACAAAAGATAATAAAAAAAGCCCTTTAAAAATATTAACTTCCTCGGTGGCCCACCACCCTAAATAAAGTGAACATAACCAATAATCTGCATCGTATCATCCATAAAAAATACACTTAAACTATAATCAAAATCAGATTAATAATTCAATTAATATTTACCATCAATTCATTAATAATGCCTAAGTGCGACTTTATTCACAGAATGTTATCACCACTCTTGTACGAAATAAATAGCCAGCATATGTAAAACACAAACATTTATAACCAACATATATAAAAGCCAAACAGGAGAAATATACACATATACAATCTAACTTTAAGGAGAAAAAAGTATGTGTGGTTCTGGTCGTTGTTCTGGGGGTGGTGTTTTGTGTGGGCATTGCATAAAATGGGTTTTTATGGCCTCTGACCAGAGTCCAGGAGTGAAACACATTGCTTGTTGAAGACAAGAGATTTAGGAAGAAACGGGATGTTTAATCCCCTCCACGTTAACCCAAATATGTGGTGGTATATTTTTTATATAAAAACACATCCCAACATTAACAATAATAAACCTGATAGCTGAACTAAGCGTTAAGTGTTCTTGTCTATGGGTCCATACTTACGGTACGTCCAAAGAAGATAAAAAGAGTGCGGGGTAGCCCGCATGCGTCAGCTGCGTCCTGGAGGCCAGGCGATCAGACATTATTCTAAGGGCCAATACTGGCTCTCCTTCATGTCCGCTTGGCATGACAGGGGCCAGTGTTTTTGGCTTTATGGCTCTTAGACTACACCTAGCCTCCCAATGAGGGTTCGAGAGTTCGCTGCCACACTTTAGACTTCAGTCACTCCAAACAGCTTTTTATGCACCAACAAGGCCCCTGGGAAAATCTTTTGTGTTCCTGAGCACATGGTTAAGCCCAACATCCTTTTTGGTCCAGTTAAATACTTCAAATGAACAAATTCATATTTAAAGGTATCCTTGGATCCCAACATATGGTTTTAGTCTTTAGTTTTTTCACTAACACAGGTATCTGTCTTATAATAGGATTCTAGTCCACATGGATGACAACATCATCAAACACTACTCCAATGAAGACACCTTCCAGATCACCATGGAGGAGTTGGGCGGCATGTACAAACTCATCCTCACTGAAATCTGATTGGACAGGAGGAGGCGACGTCACTGTCAGAAAGGAGGGATGGAGGACAATTAGTGGTTTACATGTCCAGCTATGCAGTGATTATGGACTCGATCTGAAGCTTAAATCATGTTGTCTTTGTTCTGTATTAATGTCAAACAGATTTTAAAAGTCCCACAAGAGGTGTTTTATAAAAAGGTACAGCTCTTAATAGACTGCAACGTTGATTAGATATCTAAGTTATACATTTTTATTCATTTTAAAACCTTTTTTGTGCATAAGAATCAACAAGTGAGGACGGGTTTGATTGTTATGACACCTTTACTTTGTATTCAGTGAGTTGCACCTCAAATATTAGTGCCTGCTTTTGTACATTGTTGTGCAGAGTGTTTGTGGTGCTGCTATACCTCATGCTTTGCAAGCGGCAGTGTTTCTCATATGTTTGAATTTTATGAGGAGAAACAGCTCCCTTCCTAAAGCCATAGCACTGATGATTACAATCCTTCAAAGTTGGGTATTTAGCATATAAAATGAAGACAGCAAATTGTTGACGGAGCCCCAAGTGGTTCAGTGTATTAATACCAAACAACATGGCAGTATTTAGTGTGTAAAGCCTCCTTCAACCATCATACAGTTAGAGTAGACTAATGTAAATGTTTGTTATACTTTTTTTTAAAGCATAAAATACATGTTGTTTGTTGAGTGAAAAGGTGTTTTTTTCCTCAGATCAATTTAAATAATGGCCTCTTTGTAAGTATTAAATAGTTGCTAAATATATTGATGATAATGCTAAAACACAGCTACCCTTCTCATGTAGAGCAATTTTCTGAATGTTGATGAAATAGGTCAATGAATGTCTAGCACAGTCCACGGAGGCTGTTCTGGAAGTGCAATATGATGTTTAGGTTCAGACACATTCAGAAAAGAAATTCTCCTTTATTGCCATAACTATAGTATATAATGCATACTAACTGATAAAACAGCTTTTTAAAATGGAAATATTGTTGTATATATCCACTGGAAGAAAAAAAAAAGGATCTATACGATCCCTCTTTTTGTATCTTAGTACTTATTGTGTATATATTTATTAAGAAAACGGATGTGGGTCATTGTTTTTTTAACCTATATATCCAAATTTCTATTATTCCTAATAATATAATTTGTTCTTTTTATATGAACTTATTCTAACCTTACATGTCAAGGGATAAAAAGTTATTGATATGTTTTTAATTGATGTTTTTTTTTTGTAAAGGATTTGATGCACAAAATGCCCAATAAAGGCTCTCTCCGCTAGCTGTTTGGTTTTGTCTGAGACTTTCTTCCTCAGGTTCTCTTATTCAGTTATTACTTTTCAGACACTGCCTACATATTACCAACTTTCCATCCATAGAGTTCTATGTAATCTATGGATATGAGATGGTTTAATTAAGTAATAGCAGGTCTGTAGCAGAGATTAACTGTGCCTGTGCCAGTGTTTTCTGTGTCTGTCCACAGGAACAGATGTCTGGGCATCAACCCTAACCCTGTGGGCAGGAAACAGGCACAGTGCAGAGAAGCTGCTCTGCCGGAAACCTGGCCACAAATTTCCACACTCTTTGATTAAAGAGACTCGGTCAACCACTTTTTCCAGACTAAAATATCTCAACACCTACGTGATGGATTGCTATAAAATGTTACAGACATTCATTCTCCCTAGAGAAAGAATCCTGATTACTTTGATCCTGTGACCTTATGTTGACATAATGGTGGCGCTAGAGGGTGGATTACCATTACATTCAGACATTGACATGGATTAATGTTAATGTCTGTACCTGACATGGATTAACATGAAATTGAGTACAGAGATTTGTGTTCCCCTCATGATTAATTTAAATAACTTTTAATAGTTTGAAGCCAAATAAAACCTGTAAAACTATTGACATCAGCCAAATGTACACATGTTAACATGCTAAAAAGAACCACTGGTGAACATGTTAGTTAGTTACATGTCAGTAACTGTAGGCGTGTTAGCATGCTGACGTTAGCATTTGGCTTAAAGCGCAGCTGTGCCTCAGAACAACCTCACAGAGCCACTAGTGCCCCCTACAGTCAAAAACAATTGTATGAAATAATAGTAATAATCATTTTATTAGGGGTCAGTTAATGATACATTTGAAGGACATTTTGTCTACTTATTTACTTGTAGCTCTAATCTGATATTTTAGTTTGTTCAGTAAAAATAAGGTATAAAAATCACATCTTTGCCACTTGGTCTTTTAATAAAGTGTTAGTTACAGTGTGACAGACATGAATATATTTCACTTGTCAGAACTGTTAGAAGTTGGACTTGCGATGCTACCTCAGTATGCAGTGGTGTGGTATCTCTACAAGCAGCATCATAAAGGTTCAGGTGTGCAGATACAGAAAGAACTGAAGACTCATTTAGTTATAATTTAACTAATTAGTCATGCTGCCCTGTGGGCCATCTGGTCTGTCTCCCTTTTGCTGTCTCGCTTATTCTCCACGTTTTTTTGTTTTTTTACAAGGTTTATTCCTGATATGTCCTTGTTTAAACCCACAGTTGGTGACGATATGGAGCTTCTGTCCTCTGTGTATTTGACTGTGAGCAAGGTCAGGAAACTGGCTGGACTCACAACTCAGACATATGGTCTATCTTTGATTTCTATCCTGGTCAAAATAGATTTGGAAAGAAATTGTTATGAGTGATGGTATCTTTTTATTCATGGAATCATTGTTTATTGATCATTGTGTTTCCCTTTTCTTTTTCATGTCACATTTCATGTCACCCATTGTGCAGTTCATAAGACTATAAAACCCTTGACCCCTGGCATACAAGTAGTAGTATATGTAATTAGTATTTGATAATAATATTGTGCAGATCCGTTCTACTTAGTGGTTACAATGCTTTTATAATTTGAAATACAATCATTTAATTTAAATATAAATTAAATTTGAATTTACTTTGTTAATTACTTTTTTAAACAATATATTTTATAATAAGCAATCATAATCTGGTATTTTTGTACTTCACTTCCTAGAGTTATTTTTGCATTTTCCTGGGTTTAGATCTTGGAATCTTTTCTATTTTCTACAGGAAAAACGAGCTCAACAAAATAATTCAGCTTTCATAAACTGGTTATAGTTTATTCACTCTTGTGTCACGTAGCTGGACGAGAATAACAAAATGTAAAATTACCAACAGTATACAATACCATGAAGCATCACTGAGATTCAGATGAGGTTGACAATGTAACAATTGGCAATGTTTGTCCTTTGTTTAAATAATGTTATTTTTTTATACACATTAAGAAAATAATAAAAAGAAAAAGGGAAATTAATCATCAGCACACACAATCAAAGAAAGATACATTTACACACATATATATACACACTGTGTTCTGCACCAACCTTTTCAGCAATATGTGCAGTTCTGTATGTGGCAGAGCGGGAAAAACTACAATATATAATATTTGCTTTGTTTCAAAACAATAAATATAGATTATAAACGTCCTCTGTTGTTGAATATTATCATGAATGTAAAGAAATATGTGTCCATGCAGACAATAAGGGTATATATATAAAATATATTTTTTTTATACCACAATAAAAAAAAACACACTGAAGTACTGAAAGATGTTATTTTGTGCACAAGATACACATTATGTTTGCAGAAGTTATAATATTGTGTTCTGATTTGTAAAAATGTGCTGATCTTTTCTACGCATGTTCTCCTCCCAACCCAAAAATACAACGGAATACACAGTGGTCAAGAGAGAAATCATTTGGCAAGGGCAGATAAACTGAGAGCACATCCATTAACCGTAGAAAATATAGGTGATATTTCGTCTGGTGAAATAAAGTAGGAAAATGAATATAAACTTTCCGTTCAACTCGCACGAGTCCAGAGTTGGCTGTAAGGCCCGTGCGTCATGCTCTCACAGCTGGTGCACAGCTGGACCGACATTTAATACAGGTGTGCCTATAAAAAACACAGTGAGAATCCACACAATACTGTTTACAGTAAATAAGAAACACACCAAAGCAAAGCAGACTTGGGACAGAAGAAGTGTATACAATGGACCCATCTGAATCCAAGATGGACAACACTGTCCCCATAACTCAAGAGACTTTTCTGCCAATACAATCTCTGCAGCA